TCAACATCCAAAGCGAAGGCTCGGACGGCTGGGTAGATAGCAGGGCATTGCAACTCATATTCCAGAACATCCTGCTTGAACGCAACGAAGGTGTCCTGAAACTCTCCCTCCAGCTTTGGAATGCTATTGTCGCAGCGTTGGGTAGCCAATTGGCGCCTCTCATGGAACCCATATTAGATGCCGTCATTCCTCTAACGCTCACACCTATTGGAGTATCACGTCACCCAATATCGCTGAACAAGTCACTACTCATCAAACCATCCGGACAAGCCATGGGCCCGCCACCAGACTCTGAGCCGAGCCGTAAGTCGTCTCCACCAGATGGCAGTGAGCCAGCCCAGAAGAGAAGAAAGAAGTCGCGTATTGGAAAGGACGAGATGTCAACACCTACTCCAGCCTCACAGTCTCATAACGTCGATGGACACATGATCACTGGTGATCTCGAACTCATAGGCGCGGACGTCATGATCCGTTCCAGGACTTCTGCAGCACAAGCTCTCGGTAAAGCGATGGGAGCCTGGCCTGAAGAGTCGAGGCTCGAGACCTTCAGATCTAGGCTGCTGGCTCCATTGTCCTCTCAGAACTCGTCAACCCAACTGACGGCTGCGATCATCATTGAGGAGTTTGGAAAGAACCTGGCAACTAAAGATGCCTTGGCTGAGTCGTTCGTCCAGGCCCTGCTGCCTATGGTTGAGGGCGAGAGGCCTGCCGCCTACGAGGATCTCGTGCCCAAGCTGCAGATTGTTCGGACTCAGTGCCACTCTTTGTTGAGCATCTTCCACGACGCCCATGTCCAAAGCCTGCCACAGATCGCTGCCCTTGTCCAGGGCATGCCGAATGCGAACCACTATGCCTTTGGCGTCGCAGATGCCGAGAAGCTGCTCAACGTGCAGTTCGAGAAGCTAAAGAAGGCCATGACGCCGTCCGCCCGCATGGTCGCAGGAGCAAATCTGGACACGGCACGCAAGGAAGTAGAGACGAGCATTCAAGAAGCCAAGGACATCAAGGAAGAACGCGATGTTCGCATCAAGGCCGCTGCAGCCGGTGCACTTGTCGCGCTCAACTCGCCTCCGAAGAAGCCATCACCACCGATCAAGGCGATGATGGACAGCGTCAAGAAAGAAGAGAACGTTGAGCTACAGAGACGTTCGGCAGCCGCAGTCGCTGGCTACATTGTGTTCCTCGTCAACGCTAAGAGATCTGGTGTGGTCAACAAGGTTGTCGGCAATTTGGTCAAATTCTACTGCATGGAGACAGCCGAAACACCCGAGTTCGCCGGACAGTCACACATCGAAACAGGCATTCTTACGCTCAAGAAAGATGAAGATGTGCGCGATCATCCCGACGCTGCTCGATTCGCAGAAGAGTCGCGGGCAGCCAGGATCACCAAGCGTGGTGCGCGAGAAGGTCTTGAGAAGGTCGTCGAGAGTTTCGGCGCTGAGATCTTCGAGAAGGTGCCTATCCTCAAGGATCTGATTGAACGACCCATCAAGGACGCTTTCACCGAGGCCACACTTCCCGCACAAATCTTCAACGAGGACGGCGTCTTTGGCCAGGAAGTTGTTGATGCCCTGTCGACTCTACGTGCCCTGGCCGGCAGTTTCCACCCAAGCGTCAGAGGCTTCGTCAAAGACCTGCTTCCACTTATTGCCAAGGCTCTTCAAAGCAGATTGTACGTCTTGCGGTACGCAGCTGCCAAGTGTTTCGCAACCGTCTGCAGCGTCATGTCTGTCGAAGGTGTTACCATGCTTGTCGAGAGCGTGCTACCGACCATTAGCGACGGTGGAAATGTGCATGCCCGCCAGGGAGCCATCGAGTGCATATATCATCTCATCCATGTTATGGAAGACGCCATTCTTCCATATGTCATCTTCCTCATCACCCCGGTTCTTGGTCGTATGAGCGACTCTGACAACGACGTCCGACTATTGGCCACGACCAGCTTTGCCACGCTTGTGAAGCTTGTACCACTTGAGTCTGGAATTCCCGATCCACCAGGCCTTCCGGACACTCTCCTCAAGGGCCGAGACCGAGAGCGCAAGTTCGTCGCCCAGATGCTGGATGCGAAGAAAGTCGAGCCCTTCGAGATCCCTGTTGGTATCAAGGCGACGCTTCGTTCCTACCAACAGGAGGGTGTCAATTGGCTGGCTTTCCTCAACCGGTACAACCTTCACGGTATCCTTTGCGACGACATGGGTCTTGGCAAAACGCTACAAACACTCTGCATGGTCGCTAGTGATCATCATATGCGCGCGGATGAGTTCGCCAAATCCGGCGATCCAAACTTCCGACGTCTACCCTCGCTCATTGTTTGCCCGCCCACACTATCCGGTCACTGGCAGCAGGAGATACGCCAGTATGCACCTTTCCTCAGCTGCGTAGCATATGTTGGCTCGCCACCTATCCGCGGTCAGCACAGGAATCAGCTCGACAAGGTGGATATCGTCATCACTTCGTACGATATCTGCAGGAACGACGCCGACATTCTCAAGCCCATCACCTGGAACTACTGCGTACTCGACGAGGGTCACTTGATCAAGAACTCAAAGTCCAAGACCAGCCAGGCCGTCAAGCAATTCCAGTCAAATCACCGCCTCATCCTCTCCGGTACACCTATTCAAAACAACGTGCTCGAGCTATGGTCACTCTTCGACTTCCTCATGCCCGGTTTCCTTGGTACAGAGAAGGTCTTCCAGGAACGTTTCGCGAAGCCCATCGCTGCCTCCCGGTTCGCCAAGAGTTCGTCAAAGGAGCAAGAACGGGGTGCGCTGGCGATCGAAGCTCTACACAAGCAGGTGCTTCCATTCCTCCTCCGTCGTCTGAAGGAAGAGGTTCTAGATGACTTGCCACCCAAGATCCTGCAAAATTACTACTGTGATCTATCTGAGTTGCAACGCAACCTTTTCGATGACTTCACCAAGCGTCAAGGCAAGGAGATTCAGTCCAAGGCCGGTAATGCCGACCGCGAGAGCAAGCAACATATCTTCCAAGCGCTCCAGTACATGAAGAAGCTATGCAACTCGCCTTCACTCGTTGTCAAGGGTCCCACAAACAAGGCATACGAGCCGACTCAGCAATATCTTAAGAAGCACAACACCACGATCGACGACATCGCGCACGCACCCAAGCTCGGCGCTCTCAAGGACCTGCTTGTGGACTGTGGTATCGGCGCATCCGACGTTGTGAGCGACAAGTCTGCCGCCGCTAATGGCGACCTACCAGAAGCTGTCTCGCAGCATCGTGCCCTCGTCTTCTGTCAAATGAAGGAGATGCTCGACATGGTTCAGCACAACGTGCTCGAGAAGTTGCTTCCGTCTGTGCAGTTCATGCGTCTCGATGGTGGTGTCGAAGCTACCAAGCGTCAAGAGATCGTCAACAAGTTCAACACAGACCCCTCATACGATGTGCTGCTTCTGACAACCAGTGTCGGTGGTCTGGGTCTCAACTTGACTGGTGCCGATACCGTTATCTTCGTTGAGCACGACTGGAACCCGCAAAAGGACATTCAAGCCATGGACCGCGCGCATCGTATCGGTCAGAAGAAGGTCGTCAACGTCTACCGAATCGTCACGCGCGGTACCTTGGAAGAGAAGATCTTGAAGTAAGTATCCCAGATCCTCTGACCTGTAACTCCTCCCTAACAAATTTTCCCAGTCTCCAACGATTCAAGATCGATATCGCTTCCACCGTCGTCAATCAACAAAACGCGGGTCTCCAGTCTATGCAAACAGACCAGATTCTCGATCTCTTCAACGTTTCGGCCGATTCGAACGATCCTGCCGCACTACCAGCACCGCCCAGCAACGCCAAGGACGATCGCACAGGCATCGACGAAAACGACGCCGTCGACGCGACCGGTGCGCTGAGAGAAAAGGGCAAGAAGGGCTTCTTGGACGAACTAGGCGATCTCTGGGACGAGAAGCAGTATGAGGAAGAGTTCGATCTCGACGGCTTCCTCGGCAAGATGAAGGCTTAAGCCATGCCGGTGGTTTTGAGTCCCTTCCACACTACAACTACCTTGCGCCTGCCTACCAGGCCAAGACACATCATCTTTGGGCGGAATAACAGGCGTATATTGGCGTTTCTTCTTTCCACTACGGGGCATGACATGACATGCATATGGTATCAATGTCTCATTGATCGATCCGGGTTGGTATGATGTTTTTGCATTCTCACAGGCTAGGTACTATGGAAATGTGTGTATTAGCATGGCGTTGGATGAGGGCTTTTTGTCTTTTGTTTTGTTTTTGTATCCTTTGCTCCGACTGTGGAGGGAGCTGGGAAAGTGGTTCATGTATGTCTAGCCTGTGTGAGTAGAGTATGATGTATGCTGAGAGAACTGTTATGATTGTCTTGTTACTTTGCATGCTGAGATGGTGAGCGTGGTGACGTGGTGAAGGCTACTCATCAGCACGACGTCAACGCTTGTGCGATAGCGCGGAATAACATCGCAATTTATGGGTGCACTATCAATTCTGGGTATGCACATATTCGCTATGAGGTTCATGTTACGCTTTGAAAGGAGGATCGAGCAAGCCTCTGAATTGCGCTAACGGCCAGTCTATGGTCGTTGCATGTTTATCGTAGTATGGTGGAGATGGGAGGATTTGGGCTGTGGGCAAGAAAGGGAACGGGCGCTGACCGTGGCTGTGCCTGAATTGAAGGGCGTGAGACATCTGCTTGGGTAAGAACGTGTGGATGAAGATCAAGCTGCGAGGTCGAGGCTGCTAGGGGCGTGTGGAAGAGTATGGATACAAAGACACAAGAGGGCAAGAGGTGTAGAGATATATAGGGGAAATACACCTACATTGAGATCACTATATAGAGTTACCTGACCGCGTTATGTTGCCCTGCTCTGCATCAACATTCCACCGTAATAAGAGTAGAGATGTGTAGATCGGTAACATGTTCTAGTTTTGAGGTACGAGTGTTCCAGTCCATGACCTGCCAATGATATAATCTTTGGGCAGCTACTGGTAAGACAGTCTTGACCACGATCACTACTCATTCGAAAGCCATCCATCCCTCCACATCTTCTCCGGCATAGGTTCTACCAATCTCATCACTCTGCCAGCTCCCGGAGTGATAACTCTACTCACATGCCCATATTTTGTCGGCAAGGTGACCAAAGCATCTTGCTTTAGCAACGGCCGCTGGCCATTGCTTATCGGCACGTACCCCCCGAGTACGATATCGACGCCGAAGTCATAGCACTTGGAGCGGAAACCCCAACCCATGACAGTAAAGGCCGTCACGAAGTCCATCTCGCACACCAGTCCGTAATAGACTTCTGGAAGCTCGGCCATTGCCTCGCGATTCCAGATGCGTACGAACTCGATGGAGGGGTTGCTGAGCGTTGGGTGGGACATGCGCTTGATGTGGTGGTAGAGGAGTTGTATCGAGGCCGTGGTGATGAAAGTGCGTATCGTGCGTTTCTCGGCTTCGCTGATCCTGTAGTGTGGGAAAGAGGGCACATTTGTAGTTATGCTGCCGGGTAAGAATACATCCTTGTCCTCAGGAGGTTTTTCGGGCAAGTCTGATAAATCCAAATCCGCAGTGGTTTTGGGAGCTTCGGCAAGGTGTTGGAGGAACTTGGATGTTCTGCTCTCGTAGTTGACAAGAGCCCCCGGAGTAGCGTGTTGGCCAACTGGAACGAGATCCAATCTTGAGCGGAGGTGAGCATAGTCGCGTGCTGCAGCTCTTATAATCGGTGTTAGGGATTTGGCGTGGGTGTAGGGATCGATGATGCCTGCAACCTTGGGCGATGCCTCAAGGATGAAATTTCGGATCGTCTTGTGAATGAGCGGCGCTGCTTCTTCGTGAATTTCCTTGCAGACTCGGAGAATAGAAGTGTGAGTGCTGCGGTGGATGAGTGTGAAAGATGGCTGGTGTCGAAGAGCCCAGTAGTCACTGGGGTGAGGCTCGATTGTCGTATTACTGATGATCCGAGGAAGATTTTCGTACACCATGAACCTGACCTCCTTAGGAAGGTCAAGGAAGCGAAAGGTCTCATCAGGCATTCGTGAATGTTGTTACGTTGCATGGAAGCTGAGGTTGCGGCTGGTATGAGATAAAGGAAATGAAGGTGCAAAGGCTTTTATATTCAGGCGCAAGATCAATCGTGAGATAAATCCGTACGGTTTGAACCACGGTTCCATGGTTGCGTGTAATGTGATGTTTCTCTAGTTATTGATGTTGCTGCTTTTGTAACCTTGGTTACTGACTTTATGGTTCTAGATTTTGCGGTAGCGCATCGCATTCTGAATGCATCTCACTCTTACCTTGTTGAGTGTAGCACTTGTATCACGACATCTGACCGCGTATCTTTTGAACAAACGCGCATCACACCTTGTCCGTACCTGCTCCCAAGTCGTGTTCAGCTTTTGACTCAACTGACACAATAAACTGGGCAACCGTGTCGCATGAGAAGGATTGTTATAGGCGCTCGGGCGACGTGATTATCAACCACTGGGGATTGGTGGCTTCGGTAATGGACTGGTGTTCACCATGGCTTCCTTTGCTCAGGTTCCGGGCGAAGCTCGCGAGTATACATTGGCATATAATATACAAGTGTCTCCTCCGGTATGTAAACAGGAAAGTAATCGCATCTCCAGTTCCATGCAGGCAGGGCGATGTGGATGAGTGCAGTAGTTATGGCCTGGGTCACGTCCGTCGGGTGAAGATCCAGCACTGTCTTGATCGGTTGGAAGGGCTACGGAGCTTCTGGCATTATCCGAGAAGGAGGTACATCCACAGGCGGGAATCCTAGGCATGATAGAGGTGCTGGTGGCATATTCCAGTGGCGGTGTGACGGGTCCAGGTGGTCCTTCGAGAGGCCGTAAAGTGGTCAACATAGGCCGGGGTCTCCATGCAGCCGAGGGAGGCACTTCCACAGATTCGGGCAGGCACAGCTGGAGTGGCTATGAGAACAACAGTCGCTTTGGGGAACAACGATGCAACGCAAGAAAGTTTACACAGGAAGAACAGAACCTCGGTGTACTATGAGATGTGCATCGGATGCTTCGCGACCAAGTCAAATGCCGACTGTTGTTCAGGCGTCCGGGTGGGTCACGAGCTAGTGCCAGAGACACCGATGTGCACCAATCACAAGCTGCTCACACGCAGCTCCCTTCTCGATGTCGAATGATCTGACCGCCTTATGTCGCTACGACGAGGCCGCTCCATCACGAGCCTGATCAAGCCAGCTGTGCGCTTAGGACATCTATATGATCGGCATTGATTATGTGGCAGCGGAGGGAGCGATTGGGAGGGTCTCCTGGCAGTTGTCGCCGAAGCCCACCGGAGCGTTTTCCGGCTGAATGCAGGTGTGCGGCACATGCAAATGAATGCGAGGCGGTCAACACGCATCGTGGTCAAGACGAAAAGCGCCATATTGCTGCTCCGGCCATGGAAGCTGAAGCGCGCAAGAAGAGTAATCCGACTAACAGACTATGGCAACGACTATGACGGAATCTGGAGATCGGATCGTGAAGTACCGCCGGCGTAAAGGCGCTGGACTTGAGGCCGAAACGAAGGTCGACTGCACAGGGCATGGTGGAGACGAAAGGGGACAGCGCAGAAAGCAGCTAGGACGCATTGGTAAGCGACTAATGCTTAATCTCCACCCTCGGCAAAGTGGCGTGGCCAATGCCATTATCGATTCTGGATCCACGGCGCCTCACACAAAGGACCGTTCGGTCGTGCAACACCGGCTCCGGCGCGAAAACAACATCAAGGGCAGGTGACGTCTTCCGTAAGCAAAAGACCGAGAGTGTTGTTTGGTTCTCACAGGCTCGAGCGTGCGTGAACGGCGCAGTGAGATGTTTGCAAAACTAAACATGCGCTGACGCACCCTGCAGATTCTGCAACACTGACACCGTAAAGGCACTATTTCAGGAAAATGATCTCCAGAGGCTTTGCTGGGAGGCCCAAGTGCCGGTGGAGAACCTCTGTTCAACGGGCAACACGATAAGGGCCGCCCCTGAAGATACCCTGACGAGATCGCCACCTAGAGGCTCAGCTCGCACAGAGCAGAGGCCGTGAGGACAAACGTGCCTCGCCATGTTCTCGAAATGGAAATGCTGCGTTCCTCCGCCTATAGCGCGTAATTAGAACAACAGCCGCCGGCCTGGGGATGGCGGCCTGTGTGCAGCAAGACGACAACAACACAGTCTGGACTGAACGACCAACACAGGCCGTTCATTTCTGCAACACGAGAAGCCACCGCGAGCCTCCACAGCCAACCTGCCGATCTAGTCTTAGCACCAGGCACGCACCGCCTGCGAGTGGCCAGCGGGGCGGCAGGCCAGCTTGGTTCCTGCATTAGCCCTGACATCCGCCAGACCACTTGCAGCGCCCAGATGCTTTGGCCCCTGTCGCCCGTCCTGTTTCCCCCTTTCAGTGGCCACTTGTTTCCGGTCCGCGCTACCGTGCTGTAATCTCCTGACGGTATATATCCAGCCTGCGAGGTCGCCTTGCTGTTTTTTTCACTTCACAGCCAAACTTTCGAGCTTCAAGTCCTTTGACCTTCGGTCGTCCATTCGTTGTTACCAACTAATACTATCATTAATAATACACACTCGCCAACTCTCTCCCACCACCTCCTCCACCACCAACCAACACTTCCAACTCAACCGTTTCAAGTTCTAATACCCAACAATCAACATGCGTTACTCCATCGCCATCGCTGCCTTCGCCGGCCTCGCCGCTGCCGTTCCCCAATACGGCGCCTACCCTGCCGCCCCGGCCAGCACCCCCGCTGCCCCGGCCTACCCGGCCTACCCTGCTCAGCCCGCTGAGCCCAGCAAGCCCGCCTACCCTGAGGTCCCTGCTGAGAGCTCCAAGGCCCCCGAGTACCCAGCCTACCCCGCTGAGACTCCCTCCGCTCCTGCTCCTGAGTACCCCGCCTCCAAGACCCCCGAGGTCCCTGAGCACGAGACCTCCGCTATGCCTACTCCTTCGGCCTCCAAGCCTGCTGAGTACCCCATGGAGACTCCTTCCAAGCCCGCTGAGGTTCCCTCCGTCTCCACCAAGACCCCCGAGGTTCCTGAGCACGCCACCTCTGAGGTTCCCTCTTACCCTGCCTCCTCCAAGACCCCTGAGGTCCCCGAGGCCGAGACCACCTCCTGCCTCAGCTCCACCACCATCACCGTCACCGTTCCCTACCCCACCGGTACTCCCGTCGTTCCTGGTGCTGGCAAGCCCTCCGGCTACCCCATGGTTCCCGGTGCTGGCAAGCCTTCCGGCTCTGCTCCTTACCCATCTGCCCCTGCCGGCGGTGCTCCCTACCCCTCTGTCCCTGCTGGCACTGGTGCTCCCCCCGCTGCCGGCACTGGCTACCCCACCAAGACCGGTGGCTACGTCAAGCCTTCCACCCCTGCTGAGTTCACTGGTGCTGCCTCTGCTCTCAACGTCGGTGGCTTCGTTGCTGGTGTTGGTGCTTTCGCTGCTTTCTTCTTGTAAATGTCATAACCTTCAATTGAGCCTGTCTACGGGCAGGCTATGACTTTACACGATACATTGCATCGAGGATTGGTCTTCACTTCAGTAGATATCCTTGCTGTCGGAAAGGGTAATTGTAATTAGTCCGGGGATGGTGTGGTTGAATAAGAACTTGGAAAACACTCTACTGTGCCTCATGATCGTGATGCTTTTATGCAATGCTTTGAACTTCTTCTGAGACCACATGCTGCTTCAGTCCTCATCCAAGTTTTCGCGACCGCTTTAGTTCTGATTTAGAACTCTTGTGATACGGGAACGCTGAATCTATGCTGATAGAATCTGAATGCTGTGGCCTCCAACGGCTGTCGTGATCTGATGTGGCATGCGACGAGTCGCACATGGCTACACAGCATTAGTCTATACACACGTCTTCTTTGCTTATGCCCCTGCGAACGTGCCTGCTTCTTCCAGTGCTGCGTCGTCAAGGATAGCGCTGCATGCGACGCGATGACGCATGACCGCCGTAGCGAATGCTGACCTTTGATTACTGCAAACTCACTTCCTAAGAACATCAGAACTTTACCATACCTTCTCTTGCACATCAACTTCGACGACCACTTCATCACAGACGGTGATGACCCTGCATGGCGATAATTGTTGGAAGCGTAGCCTGGAAGCTATGTTTCGGCCACGAACTATATTTCGATAGCCATGGTTGTTTCATCAGCCGTGCACCGTCGCCGCGCTGCGAACGCCACCCTCTACACTTTTCAAGCTTTGCGCTAGACCAGCGCGCACAGGGACATCTAGCATAGTTCCTTCTACGGGTGCTCGGTTCGTTGGCGCACGTCTAGTATCTGGATGCAGGTGCTGCAACACGACCGTGGAAACACAGGACGCTAATTGCGGCATGCCGAATGCTTCCGACAAATGCCCTCGTCCAGCTTGAGTAGACTTCCCCAGCTCTCCAAAGGCACATTCCAATACTGAACTGCATAACAGACGACTCCAATAGTCTTGGGAATGCTTAGTCATTAGTCGCGTCAACGGGTAAAAGGTGGGGTTCCGGTATCCTTTCCTGCATGAAACGGCCAACCACCAATAGTACTCAAAAACACCGTCTAGACGTCTAACTTTACAGGAATGAGCGCAGGGTCACGATACTACTGCCGGGATACTGAGCTTACCCAGCTAGCCACGTCTCACCTGAGAACCTACCCAATCCTGCCTGGCATTCCTGGCAAATCGTATGAATTGGAGGCGTCAGTGGGGTTGCCATTTTTGGAGTCAAGAGATATTTGCTTGTCAGCTTACTTTTAGATGATAGGCCTGTTGTTTCGAATGTGTAGGCGAGGATACGACTCGGTACGCGAACGTTGGACGATCGTTGCCAATGTGCGAGCCAGCCTGACGGACCTGAGCTGGAATAATGGTCAGGAAAAAATGGGAAGTATAAAGTGAGAGAGTAGACTTCCTGAAGTGAACCACGCGTTCGCTCCGGTTTCTAACCTACTCATCTTGTTTGATCGATCTATCAAAGCTATCGAATCAGGTTCCCTCGTCTCATCATGAAGACCTTCACACTTTTCTCGGCCTTCCTGGCCACAGCCATCGCTGCCCCAGCCACACTTGCGCCAAGCGATATCACACCACGCACATTGGGCGTCCTCAAGGGCCTTGCCAAATGTCCGGCAAACCCAGCTCAACCCGACGGGAAATTACCAAAGGGAAGCATATCGACCTCAGCCCTGGTACCCATCAGTGCGAAGAACCCCGACAAGGCATACCCAGCTACCGAATGGGCGACCGTCACCCCAAAAGACAAATGTACAATCTTCAACCTCGAGCTCGACTCCGACGCCACCCAAGGCAAAATCTGCAACCTCGTCTTCGACTTCCCTTCTCTCGTCCAAGCACCCGGTCTCTTCGTCTTCAAGGGACCCGGACATTTCACATTCACCGGTTATGCCATCAACGCTGGTGGAGAGCCCGGTGTTACTACATACAACAAGCAACCGGCTCCAGGTCCTAGCCCACCGAACCCTCCAGCAGTCATAAAGCCAGGCAACAGCTATGTTGTCAACGGTGCGCCGTGTGGAATTCCGCCTGGTATTGGGAAGGTCACTGTTAGTGGAGCGCTGTGTTCCGAAGACACGACTTTGACGTTCAAGCAAAGCGATTTGATCTGTCCATTGGGCTTCTATGTTGTGCTTACTGACGATCCTAATGCGGGAGGGTATGCAGCTCCTCACTAGATGTTTGGTATCGCCCTCATGATTATGGGCAGCATGGGTCGTAATTTAGCGTAAATCTTCCAATCTATGCTTCCGAAGCTCAAGTTTTGCATCCTGTGAAGAAGCGTGGCTGCCGTTGTCGGGTTCGCTATTTCCTACCGTCATTCTTTCGCAGCAATATGGACTGATTTGCACGTGGGCCGGACGTCTCCGATACCCGGTCACCCTTTCTCGCGACATTGTGCGGGGCAGCGTGCTAACCCCTTCGAGGACTCGACTGTTTTCGCATCCATCAGTAACGACGACGTTGCCTATGGCATCGCAAAATGTTATGTCCATTTCGTGTGTCAGTGCTGATATCCCGAGGCACGTCTTGGTTTTTCGTTCGATCGATTTACCTAGGATTTGAAGATGCAAGCGCACAACAGCGCAACGACTGAACGTCTCAAAAACGCAACATGGTATTTCTTCGATCTCGACGACACCCTCCACGAATTTCGCAAAGCATCTTCCGCCGCCGTAGACGCGACACTCCGCCTCATCCTAGGAAACCACGCTCACCATGAACCTTCTTCCGGTGAGCCGCTCACAGTTGCCGAGCTAAACGCGGAATACCTCAAGATCCTCAAAACCAGCACATCTGCCGCATTCGTGGATGGGAAAACAAGTCACGAGTACCGCGCCGAGCGCTTTCAGGGTGTTATGAAAGCTTTTGGTATCGATTGTACGGAGCAGCAGATGCAGGTATTGCTCGACACGTACGAAGCTGCAATTATGCAGAATCTGCAACTCAAGGGAGGCGCTATACCACTCCTTCAAACACTCAAACAACAAGGAAAGAGCATAGCGATCATCACCGAAGGTCCTCAAGATTCGCAGGAACGTACCGTTGCTGCCTTGGGCCTAGAGCCATACTTCGACAGGCTAGTTACTACGAACAAGCTTGGTGTGGCGAAGATTGACGGCCTTTTTGGCAAGGCGTTGGAGATGATTGGTGTGAAGAGCGAGGTGGTCATGGTAGGCGATAGTTGGGAGAGGGATATTGTTCCTGCGGTGGAAGCGGGGATCAAGTGTGTGTGGTTTGCTGAGAAAGAGGAGGAAAGCGAGAGGATGGTTGTTTTGAGAAGGGAGGAGCAGAGAGTGATGGTAGTGGATTCGTTGATTCGGCTAGAGAGCATCCTAACAATAGCGGACTGACCGGACTGATCATTGATAAGCCTGCAGCATATGTTGCGCAGATGCAAAGCAGAGAAAGGGTATGGAACAAGTGGAAGAGCCTGCTCAAACATCCCCGATAACTTCCGTGGACCATTCCGGAATAATATTTCCGTCCTCATCAATGAGATTCCCATCCTCGTCAATACGATCTCCGTCCTCGTCGACGAGATTTCCATCCTTGTCGACACGCTTTCCGTTTCCGTTTCTGGTGATGTTCCCATCCTTATCGAGATAGTTTCCATCCTTATCCTTTATCGGCATGCTGCATTCGAGGATTCGGAGGGCGCCAGCTTTCGGTTGCTGTATTTGCTTCCATTTCTAGTTTATGCGGTCAGCCATGATGAACTTCAGGTGACATTCATGCTGTTTCGTAATGAAAACCATCAAAAGAAAGAAGTGACTTACGTTACTCCAGAATTTCTTGCTTGGTCTGAATATCATGCCGCTAAAAGAGATGGCGTATCCACCGGGCTCCTTCTAGTTGTTAGTAACGAGGAATCTCTTGATATGGGAATAGGTGTACCCACATCCCATACTTTGTGTTCGTCAATGTCATTCTGGACCTCGTGCGAGCTGTTGACTCCAAGTTTGCCGATGTTTGTTGCCCCGATTTCGGCTCCAGTGTCGATCTTACTGCCCGTCTTGTTCCACATGGCAATGTCGCACTTCTCCGTGACCCATGTGGATGTGATGACCCAGATGCCGAACCTTTCGATCGATGTCTGATATCTATCCGTCAGCTGCAGCATGTTATCCTGGATCCACTTCTCAATGATCCTTTGCGCATCGAGATTGAACTTCGTGTGCACTACGTTTGGCGATACAACTACGCCTGCACCGGCCTTTGCAGTGCTTCCTACTGCGAAATTGGCCCCCACGTCCACAGGTGCTTGGGCGGCGATTCCAGACACCTCTGCTTTAGCACCAAAACCACGTCCCTCGTTCTTCTCTACAACCTTCTTGTTCCATGAGCATGTGGCAGGGTCCGTCAAAACGAGTCCCTCTTTGGGGAGTTTTAACCCGAGAAGGTTGTCTTCCTTGAGTGCAGTAAGATCGGTAATCGATTCCCACACTCCATTGGCGTCGAATAAGCCGCAAGAACCGGGATGGAAGACGTTGGCTTTGGGTGGTGTGTACAGGTAAGTGCCTTCGGTGCACTTGCTCATGAGTTGGGAGTATGCATAATCCATTTTGTTGTCGTATGTGCTTGAGGATATGAAGGGTTCTGGATGAAATACAAATGGAGTGATTGAAGTCTGATCTTTCCACACCTGAGAGAAGCTCCCTATATAACGTCGCGCAAGATGCTTCCTACGAAAAAAGAAAAGAAGAAACAAATGCTATGAGCTCAGAGCTGAGAGGTCCTATCTGCAGCTCGTCGAGCCATACCGCAAGTACTCTGGAGTAGCCAGGTTGACCCCAACAGTAATCGCCGAACAGAGGATACAGCTGCGAAGTTTTGGGCAAATGACGGGCTGCGCAAAGGTGTTGCCAGTCAAACACCAATGCACGGCTCCGCAGATCGTGGAACACAGCGAGGCTATCGAAGATCACTTCCTCACTCTTATGTTGATCGATAGGGCATAGCGAGAGTATCGAGAATCATTCCCACACCTTTATGTCGATTGATAGGGTGGCACAGCGAGGGTACGGGAAATCATCCCCACACATCTGTAGTGATCGCTGGGGCGGCCCGCTCGCCGTCGGGGGTTCCGAAGAGGCACAGCTTGTATGTGGCCCGCAGACCGATGCTGTCATGTATCGTCGTCCTAATACACCATGTGTACTATGATCCTGTACTCGTGACTTCGCGCGCAAGATTATGGAGCTGATTAGTTGCTTGCGCTTGTAAAGGCCTTACATTCGACGCGAACATGTCCGGAAACACAGTCAGTCGAAATTTCCGGTGGTTGAGAGTTTTGCGCGTTCCGGTATGCCAACGCACATCCGAACTTCGATCCTGATCGCACCTGCGTCATTGAAAGTTTATATTCTGGACTTTGGACCAGAGCTCTGGAAAGGGACTTGGTCGAAGCTTCCTATGATGTTGTTGTGTCGTCAGAAAGGTGCCATACCCGGTGCATCTAAGCGAGGTAGGCCTCCTATGATCGCGTGCGTCGTGGGCTTCTGCGGGTTCGACTCGATCGAGTGGCCGAGAGGCTATTCGGCAGCCGCCATCAGTATATCAGTGGGCTCGTGTTCAGAGGGACGTCGCGTTACTGGCGTGCGTACATGAGGACGCGTCGTTAGCGCACACGTCGCGAGAGCTGACAGCGACTTGGTGATCTGTGCGTCAACTCGGCATTCGCTCCCGACCTCCGCGGGTCTTGCCGATGCCACAAGCGTGAAAGCAAAGGATCAGCCCGGCTTTAGCATCAATCACTCTACACAAGACAGCAAACCAACCATGATGATCGACTTAAGACAACGGCAGTACTTTGAGCTGTTCTAGATTAACTACGTAGCAGCCTGTACCTCCCTCTTCATCTCGCGATCACCGTCCGTTCCTTCCATCCCGACTTACATACCACATTGCCTCATGCCCATCACACCTCACCGTCCCCCGCGCTGCCACCTTCCCGTCATGCAGATGCGCAAACCGCTTGACCGCCTCATCAATAATATCAGCCATATCCTGGTTGTTCATATCGAACGAAAACTCATGCAGCGTGTTGGGTATAGCACCGATGCTGAAGCCGCAGGGAAACTGGTGCATGTGTTGTTGATAGCCCTCTGGTTTACCTTTGACGTATCGGTGTTAGCAAGGTGGTGAGTGGAGGTACGGAGTGGGTTCACCTTCTAGATTGACGACCCATTCGCCGGCATCTCCGAAGATACTAAAACACGACTCATGGCATTCTGTTGTGGTGGGTGGGTTGGCTGCCGAGAGAGTGGTGTCTTCGTAGGTGAGTGTGTCGCAGTGGCCCAATGTGCTCTTGTCGCCTTCGCAATAGTTGATGTCTGGGGAGAGTTGGGCTGCTATGAGGGTGGCAGCAAGGAGGCTGAGAAAGAGAGATGATATCGGGTGCATGTTGATGGATTGATGTGGTAAGCTGAGTGCGATGGTGTAGAGAGAACTGGTTGTGAGGGGAGATGAGGTCGTCTTGTATGTGTTGACATGATTCTACGCCTTACAGATACATACGAGGTGCATCACAGCGTAGAGAAGTTATTGGGTGGAAGATGGACTGATGTGAGACGTGCAGCGGTGATGCGAGGTAAGTCGTATACCCGCGGGGATCTTCAGATGAAGTGACGAATCAAATGGACGACAGCATGTTCGTCGGCAAACAACAGACCATGATCTACATACCCGCCACTACGGCGTAGCCCATTCACGCTCCGTAAGCTGCATGCGCGCGTAAAACCCCAGACCAGCGCGTCGAGATACATGCGTTATACCACCCATGTATCTATCTGACATACTGACACCGTGCCCATTCGACGCTTCGATCCTTTTCTTCGTCGCGCTTCTTAATCGGCTACTGAGAGTATTCCAGATGCTACAACTCAAACTGTCTGCTCTTACGATCCTCGTCAGTCTTCTTGCGACCTTCCCTAGCTCGCTTCCAACCTTCATCGTATCGCTTGCGAACTTCAACATATCGCTTCCGAAGTTCCTCAGCTCGCTTTTGTACTCGCGCCAATTCATCCTTCGAAAGTACATCACCACCCCGGAAGACAAACGTGCGGTCAAAAACTTGCTTCTTAATCTTGCCGAGTAGACTCAACACTTCATCGGACTTGGCCGGCTTGTCCTCAGTACGGGACTTGGAAGAGATGTGCACGCGGCCACCGTTAGAGCCCAGCGGTGGACTACTAGTCTGCTCGACAAAGTCTTGCCACAGCGCGTTTAGCTCTGTCTGAGTAGCCTCGGGCATGTCGTCAAAATCGAAGTACTCATCGTATATAGCGTCGATTCGATCCTCTATCCTTGCAAGCTTACGCGACTTTGCAAGCTTACGCGAAGGCGTGTCCTGGTTGATACGAGGTAACTCACTGTCGTCTTGGTTGAGACGCAGTGTCTCCCCGTCGTCTTTCATGTGGATAGAACCAAACCGCTCAACGAGACCTTCCACACGGAAGATCGAATGTTCGAGTTCTCGATTTAGGATAATGAAGCGTGTGTTGAACTCCTCTTTCACAGCTGGGTCGATATCAAGTGAGTTAGTGGTAGCTTGAACTCTGTCTGTGAACGTGGACACAGCCTTTTTGGCGTTATCGAGAGCGAGGAGGGCGCGGTTGCCAGCGGTAGCGATGCTCGCTTGTACGGAGGCTTTTGGCGGGGCGGAGGCGGAGGCGAAGGTGGAGGCGGACACTAGGCATGCTAGGCTAGCGAAGAGGGTGGTAGTCGTGGACAGCTTCATGTTTGTGACAAGTGACTTTGGGTGTAAGGTTGAGAGAATGAGTAGAGGTGGTGCATGGGAAGGGATCAGAAGTTAGACTGGTGGTTCCATATATACATCGAGGGAAGAAGCAAGAGGGTGATTCACGCGCGGACCGTGCTGTGAGAAGGCGAGTGAGCTGCCTATCGATGACATGCTTTCACTATCTACGGAGGACTCGCGGTGTCTTTCACGCGTGGTTCCGTGCGGTGAGACAAACTTATGCAAACTCAGATAAAGGTAGCAAACAATATGGGGTATCCTAACACATCCAAACCGACCTGCCCAAACAGAGACGCCGCGCAATGCTTCTACAATGGGACAAAAGTATCTCATCTTGTTCTTCACAACCCACCCATCTGACTAACCTCTCCAAACCCCACTCTCGCTCTACCACCTCTCCCCCTGCTCTTCCTCATCGCACTCCCACTCCCGCTCCCACCAACAGCAACACTCCCCCCAAACCCACCTTCCCTCAGCCTCCTCTCAAAACTCGTCACACCACCAACACCCAACCTCGCATCCCTACTACTCTGCACAGGCGGCGCACTCATCGTCCCCAACCTCCCCCTTCCCTCCCTCTCCAGAAACGAGGAGCCTAGCGGTCGCCTCACAGGAGAAAGAACACGTGCTTTCTCAGTACTAGGCGGGAGTTCAGGCCGTTTAGCGCGAACGACGCTACGTTTACTGGGTGTTTTGAGGTAGCCTGGTTTACTGCTTGTAGTAGGAGGAGGGGGCAAGGGCGTTCCGGACCAGAAGGTGGATTGTGCGGCGTCGCCGAAGGAGAGGTCGGATTCATCGTCTTCGGGAATAGTGGCGGGAGGGGGGCGGGCGGCGGACTGGGGTTGTGGGTAGGTGTTGGGTCTGCGGAGGATGGAGCCAGGTGGGCGGGTGGATGCAGGGGAGGGGATGGGAGCGTAGGGGTTGGGGGTCAGCGTTGGATGGCGGGGTGGCTGTTCTGGCGTGAGGGATAGGGAGAGGTCGAGATCGTTGTTTAGACCTAGTGCGGTCTCGTCGAATGCGGTCCAGGACTCGAGACGTTGGGTTTCATCACCGGATTGTTGAAAGCCTCCTTGCCCGGTATCATTGTTGCGGTCATTGTAGTCGAAGTCTTCGTCATTTCCATGACCGTTGTTGTCGTCGCCATCATCTTGTCTTCGTCTTCTCGACCTACTAGGAGGCGATGGACTCGCAACCCGTTGGCCACGCCGCTCGGTAGCACGCTCGGCCCAGAAACGAACCATGGCCCTCACATGCTTCTCAAAGTTCCTCTCGAACAACGCTCTCGCGTTCTCCTCTTGCCTCTGGAAGTTCCAAAGACGCCATCCCATCTTCTTCAGAGCGCTGGTGGCAGCAATCTCTGTGCTCTCCTGCCGCAGTGCGACAGCCTGCCCTTCGAGTGCGCGTACAAGGTCCATGCGTTGGGACCAAATGGCGAAGTAACGGGTGGAGAGTTTGAAGGCGTGTAAGCTCTCGGCCTGGGCATGTTGCTGGCGAAGTATGAGCGTGCGGTCGTGCCATTGATGCAAGATTGCGCCGCTACTTTGGAAAGTGCGGTTATCGAGTACATCATTTGCCCTTTGTGTCAGCACTGCGATATGGTTTGCCTTGTCCCGCCAGTGCTCAAAGACTCTGCGCACGAGATTCGTCTTGACCATTCTACGGACTTGCGAGTACGTGTCGCGTCTGCGATTACGGCGCGCATGTTGTGTGGCTTGACTCCATGTGTTTAGTGTATGTTTGCTAAGAACGTAGAAGCGCGCATCGGCCGACCACTGGTTCAACTCTTGAAAGTGCGCTTGCCT